AATGTTGTGGAAAAGAATGGCTGGATCTCAGCAGAAATACAAAATTAATAAGCAAAGGCTATAATGTAAAAGTAAGTTAACAGCCAGAAATAGCACCAGAACTTTCTAACTAGTCCTTCCTCAGTTGCTAATAATATTGTATTATATAATTATATAAGTTACTGAATAAACATAAAATGTTTAGTTCAGTATTGAATATGAACAAATACAAAACATAAAAACACTCAACAAATTGCAGGACCATTTGGAACATCCAATTCAATTTTTCGTTTTATAAATATAGGTCTATATTATGATAATTGTCTTACAGGGATAATGATACCAAAATATAAAATAAAAAAGGCAGACGATTACAATACTATTGCAAGGGTCACAGTTTTTTTTTCTTTTAACGCTTATTTGCATATTTTATGGATATATATATATTATATATATAAATATATATATATACTTCCTTCAATATTATATTGTATAAGAGACAGATATATATGTATATACTTTAATGGCAGTAGTATAAGCTGACGTGGCAAAAGGATGAATAATCATTACTTTAAACACATGTATTATTTGTTGACGTGGCTTATTTGTTAAGTTCTTAGTTCTTTTCACTGATGATGACTGTATTATACTTTCTGTCTGAGAAATACCTGATAAAATCTTGGTTTAATGCTTTTAAACTTGTGTTTTTACTATATATTATATCCTGCTGATTGTTTGGATCCATTATTCACGATTTGAGTTACAACAGCTTGAATCCAACTTTTAAAAATCTATATAATACATAGCATTACCGTACGATGGTTTAGAGTTTAGTTTATTTCTTTTAAAGTTAAAGTTCTAAAGTTAAAGTATTTAAAGTTAAATGAGAATTGGTTTCACTGATGATACATGGGCATGAATTCCTTTTCATCGGCTAACATCAATAAAGTGCTTGGCTTAACCACACAACTTAATCGTAAAATAAAATTTCACAATACACCATTATGTTTTTCAATGATGTTCTCCGTAATGAAGCGGTACCTGGATTCATCGAAAATTTGGTACGTATTTTTACCTTGACCTACATATTAATTTTTTTGTGTCCTGCTATCAAACAAAGCGTTATCACATCATCATGTTTGGTTGGTGGTTATGCGTAGGCTTTGAGGTTGATGTGTACTGTTGAACTCTCCAGGTGGGGTAAACCGAACAGGGTGTATAATAGCCTACACAATATATATAATAACATATATTATATATAATATGTATAATATATATATATATATATACATATATATATACATTATTATAATTTATAATACATATCAATTTTGTTTATATAAATATGTACTGTATTATGTAAATCATGATGTAATATATATGAAGTATTATGTTAGCTACGTAGCGCACTAAGAACAATATAAACAAATGGATAAATACTAATTATATATATATATATATATATATATATAATACAATGATCAAATAAACTTGATTTGAATATTATATATATAATATATATATTATATATAAAATGATATAAGATATACATATATATATGTATATAATATATATATAAATATAATATATATATTATATTTAGTATATATAAAATGATA